AGGGAGAGAATCCAAGTATTTCTTAAGATCCATGGAAAGGTATTCAAAAATGAGATATAACCTGCAATCCTGCATTAGCACATCCTGAAGACTGAAAAGTAAAACAAAATAGTATAAGGAAAGAAAATCAAGTAAATTTCTTGAACCTCTCTTTCATGAAATATATTTTCCTAAATTCAATGGCTACCTTCCAGTGCAGTAAACAATTATGAAAACAAATATATCATTTTAAGAATGCCTTCCTAATACATAAAGCCATAGCATAAAACTAGAGTATAAGAAAAGAATTTAAGGACAGGAATTAAAATAAAATCTCATTATATACAAGGGGACAAACTTTATTCTGCAATACAAAAGAACATTTATGAGTTGCTTGTTGTTCAAGCTTATCTTTCCCCGAAAAAAGGACAGAAACCAAATTTAAAATAGCATCTGACCTTCATAGTTATTACCTTCAGCAAAATGCAATTAAATTCTAGCTTAAATAGGAAGACAACCTTTGACACACCAATCCAAATAAATATTTCATCTAACCTATCTACCTGTCTTAAAATCCCACTAAGTGCTCAGGAGACCAAAAAAAAAAAAAAAAACCCACAAAAAAACAAACAAAACCAAAAACACCTTTACAAACTAAAAGTTTAAAACTTTCACACTGGGAAAGAGAGATGTAACAAGACTCTAACCTATTCTGTATCCATGCCCATCATTCTCCACTAAAGAGGATTCGATTCTACTTAACCAAGTTATACTAGATATTAGGCAATTGTAAAAATTTCCATATTTAAAATTCCATTCAAAATAGTATACAGAAAACATCTTATATTCAGTATTATGCCATACCTGACTATATTTGGATGACGAAGTTCTTTTAGTAGAGAAATTTCCCGAATTGCAGTGCTAGGAACCCCTTCCTCTTCACTTTCTAGTCTGATTTTCTTCATGGCTACAATTTGACCTGTAGTTTTATGTCTACCCTTATATACAACTCCATAGGTACCTGTAATGAAGTAAACAGCTTCTATGTGACAGCCGCCGTAAAATCAAAAGATCTCTAAAAAATTCAGTCTCAGAGGTATCAATCACATCCTAGAATGTTTTCTGTATCTCAGTTATTTTCTCAAAATGCCCTTATTGCTTCCAAAACGAAATTGCAAGTTAGCAAATACTTGTACATAAAGTTTCAAAATGAAAGACATGCAGTCAGTCATATTTCTCACCCACATCAATTACCATTATTTTCCTAATATATTTTAGAGAAAACACATCCTTTGCAAATTGTAATTTACCTAACAGATACCTTGTTATGTGCCGTCGAGTGGTCTGCAACTCATACAAGAGCCCTAAACCCCTGCTCTTTCCTGTGCCAACCTCACCATCTCCGACACGCTTACTACCACCACCTCAATCAAAGAATCAATCCATCTCATCGAGCGTCTTCCTCTCCTGTGTCGTCCCTCCACCCTCCCAAACATGATGTCCCTCTCCGAGGACTGGTCCCTCCTTGCAACATGCCCAAAATATGTCAGACAAAGCTTCAGAATCCTTGACTCCAAAGAGCAGCCTGGCTTCGGCTTCTCCAGGACAAACCCGTTTGTTCTCCTAGCAGTTCATGTTATATTCAGCACTATTCTCCAGCACTACAGCTCAAAGGCATCCATTTTTTTTTCTATCATCCCTTGTCACTGTCCAACTCTCTGATGCATACCATGTATTTGCAAAGACTATAGCCCGGATCAGGCACACCTTAGTCTCCAGCCTGAGGTCGCTGCTCTTCAGTACTCTGGAGAGATCCCTGACAGCTGACTTTCCCAATGCAATTCCTTGACCAGAGACCAAATGAGCTCTGGGAGGATATCAAGAAAGTCATCCATGAAGAATACAAAAGATCCTTACAAAGGTTGAAGAAAAGATCAAGATGAATGTCAGATGAGACTCTGAATATTGCATTAGAGCACCAAGAAGCCAACGCTAAAAGAAGAAATCAAGAATCAAACAGCTGAACATAAAATTTCCAAAGGCAGCTTGGGACGACAAAGCAAGATACTGTAATGAAATACGCAGTGGGCTGGAGTCAGAAAATCAAAAGGGCCAAACTCACTCAGCATTTCTTAAGCTGAAAGAGTTGAAAAACAAATTCAAGCCAGGGTTGGCAATGGATATTTTGGATAGAATGTTAAATGATCCAAGAAGCATTAAAAGAAGATGGAATGAATACAGAGAGTCACTGTATGAGAAGGATTTGGCTGACACAGAAGTATTTCATGAAATAACATATGAGCAAGAGCCTATGGTAATGGAGGAAGTTCAAGTTGTTCTGAAGGAATTGTTGTTTGTCATCTTATTAGGTTTAATGTAATAATAGTACTTTGGGCTCATACAATTTGATAATTTCAGTGAAATATGAAAAGTATGAGACTGAAGCTAACTTAAGAGGAGAAAAATCTTGATTTGGAAGATGAAGTAAGTAAAGAATAAGTTCTAAAAATTGATAAATTTAAAAGCTGCAGCTGAAAAAATCTTAACATGGATAAAAATCTCTGAATTAGTAAAAACTTTTTAAAAATACACTGCATTTGAAAGATGGCTAGTTTTTCTTTATTTTTGGTAGTCCGGAATGCCAACAATAAAGAGACAACCAGTCTTTCACAGCTGCAGATAGATGAACTAGAAGTTTAGAAGCAGATAAAAGAGAAAATGCAACTTAGTTCTCAGAGTGGCTATAAAGAGAAAACTTATACATACCCTCTATTGACTACCTGTGAAATCCAAAAGGTTAGACTTTCGTAAATGCTAAGAAAGCTGTTTTAAAAAGAACTTTGAATTTGTCCCAAACTTAATGTTACAATTGTGGAAATTAGGACATTTGAAAAGAGACTGTCAGAAAGAAAGAAGGGAGAGTAAAAAATCCAAGCTTTCAGGGCTTTGTAGAAAATGTGGAAAAGGATATCATTGGACTAATGAATGTAGATCTTTATTTGACAAGTGGGGAGTAAATAAGATGCTGAATAAAAGGAAACAGGGGATTGCTAGTTTTCAAAAATCAAATATTTCAAGAAAAGGATTGAGATATACAAATTTATAATGAGGGCCACTGTTCCTCATGCTCTCACCTTAATTGGCTAACAGAAAAAACCAATTTGGGTGGAACAGTGGCCACTTAGAGAGAAATTAGAAGTTTTAACAATGTTTAACAGGTCATATTAAACCACTAGCCTTGCAACTTTGCAATATAATGCTCCTGCTTATAATTCTAAGAAAACACAAGAGTTTTTTAAAAAATGGAACATTAATCACATTACTGGTATTCCACATAACCCCCAAGGACAAGCTATAATAGAAAGGGCTAATTTAACATTACAAACTATGTGGAAAAAACAGAAGGGGGGAGATACAATGGGACAAATATCATCTCCTCGAACACTCTTACAAAAAGCCTTACTTTAAATTTTTTAAATGCTAATGAAAAAGGAGAAACTCCAGCTGAAAGACAGTGGGTATTACAATCCTCTAAAGAATCGAATCAGCCTATATATTATAAGGAACTTCTAACTAATGAATGGAAAAAGGGATTTGTAATTAGATGCGGGCGAGGATTTGCTTATATCTCTACATGATCAGAACTGCTGTGGGTGCCCTCCAGAAACGTTGAAACCCCGAGATGAGTCAAAAGAGGCCACACTTTGACGAGGACGAAGCTGCAGAATGACAGATAATACCAGCTATTGGGCACATGTTTCTAATACTCTCTTGTTAAAAGTTGTTCATTGGCTTTATAAAGTTTTGGGTAATAATATATCTCTCTAGTAGATGTTTCAAGGATACAGTTTTCATGGAGATATCAGTAACAACTTCAGATTATCCCGATATTCCTCCCTGTCAATTGCTTCCTTTATCTTTCTTGGAGTATGGATACATTGGAAACAATGCTGAATAGAGCAAAGACAAGTTTTAATTAATACTTCCTATAGAAGCTTCATTAATTGGAGACTTGTTGGTTCCCCTCATCAGCACAGAAACATCGAAAATTGAAGTTAGAGTAAGGAAGGCAATTGATTTATAACTGCTCATGCTAATAACACTATCTCATGGCATGGAGAAGGAATAGTGGAACTGTATCCACATTTACAGCATTCTTACAAAAATTATTTACAAAAAAATAGGAACTGCATTGGAATATGCATCTCTTTGGATTGGAAATTATTTGCACAATCATATTGATAATGTTACTAGCCTTAAACTTAAAAGATTATATTATTCAAAATTATTTGTTATGTATTTGTTTAAATTTTTCCCTCTTTTAACAACTGGGAGCTAGAGGGAAGAGAAAAGATCAGAGAATGGCCAAAATTATTGGAGCAGCTATTGCTGCCAGTTTAGGGCCTGTGTCAGGAAAAGGAAGTCTTACTCATAAACAGTGCCACCCAAAGGTAATAAAGAAGGTCCGAATTGCTTCCCCTGTGGAAAGCTGGGTCACTTCAGTAAACAGTATTGCAGACAAGAGCCACAGATAGGCAAGGGAGTAGAGAGGAAGCTCCCACCCACTTGTGTTAAGTGTGGATCTGAAGGACACTTAGCCAAGGGTGGCCCACATCAGGTCCTCATGGCTGTCAGGACTGACAGACCCCAGTTTCCAGCTGGAAACAAAGGAGGACGCTCCAACTATTCAGATCCTCCCAGAAGATCCATGGGTGAGCATTAGCATTGCTGGTAAGTATATCTGTTTTCTCCTGGACACACGAGGCTATATTCGGCCTTAAAAGCCTTCTTGGGTCCCATCTCTTCCTGCTATTCCTTGGTTGTTGGAATTGATGGAAAACCTCATATGCAGTTCCTTATTTCACCTCTACCTTGCATGTGGCATTCCTAGCTGTAAAACAATCCAATGCTAAATGGAAGCTGGTCCAGGACTTAAGAACAATAAATGGCATAGTGGTGCCTCTACATGTTGTGGTTCCTAGCCCTTTCACTATAATAGACAAAGTGGCAGCCAATATGACTTTTATTTTAAGGATTATCTTCCCTCTGTAACTTGATTTGTGTCATTGTTAGAATCTCTAGTTGGAATACTATTGTTTTTAGTTTTGGGCTCATGTACTTTTAACTTGTTAGTTAAATTTGTGTCTTCTAGGCTGCAACGCTTCCATGATGCGTCTGAAAGGATATGAATGTGGATAAGAACAATTGATAACAGTGCATCTAAATTCCAAAATCAATCTCCGCAATAGTCTACGGGTTTCCTACTGCCAAAGGGGCCCTTTAGAGTAGTGAGAGAAGATCTTCACCCTGAAACCTACAGCGTCCCTTTTCAGCAGGAAGTAGTTAAGAGAATACGCGGCCCCCTTTTCCTTATATATCAGGGTGAAATCTCTCTCAGGGAGGAATGATAGGGAATGGCAAAGGACATGCTGGCAAAGAAGATTAATCAGAACTGGTTTTGACAAGCACTGTGGCAATGGGTCAATTAAAACAGACTCTCAAGTAATATCCAACCTGAATCCTTCTGATCACATGGAGATTTTTAAAAGTATTTCTTTAAATTTATTAGGTTTCATCTGTTTTATTTGTTTGTTAGTATATGAAGGATGGAGAAAACCAAAGCAAGCAAGAATGAACCAAAGAAGAGAATATGCTAGTTCAGATGATAACATAATTATGATAAAAACAAAAGGGGGGGAATATGGGAAGCCAAACTTTATACAAAATATTGTATGAAAATATTGTTCAGGAATTGAAGGAATTACAGATTTATAGGTTAGGATTTCTCTTGTGGCAGATCCCAGAAAATGAGCTGTTTGTTCCCTGCAGACAGGAGACAGCTAGGGCCCCGCTATGGAGTAAGTGTTACTACCTGTGAAATACTTCCTGAGCTAAAGCATTAGGCTGACAATAGAGAAAAAGTCTCCTTCATTTACAAGGAAATCCTTTTGTTATTTGCTTCCCCAGATTATCAATAAATACATAGAGAAACATGACTTGGGATCTTCAGTGGAGAACTGC